AAGCCTCATCTTTCTCCCGCGGAGCAGCTGGTAGTTTCGAACCGCTGACCTTAAGGTTCGCAGCCCGATTCGTAACCACTACGCTACCAGAGCTCCTTTAAAATCACTAGATATGGTCCTAAATGCATACATCAAATGAAGAAACATTTATTCAAGGAAATATACTAAACCTCGCTAATAATAATGAGACCTTATGTTGCTTAAACTAGAATCTGTTCCCTCCCTCTCTTTCCTAACTCATTAAAATGGAAATGTTACTCCCAGCTACCAGTTGGAAGGTTATCTTCCTGGGAGAGGTAGGACATCAGCATTTCTCATGCTGCTCTTAGCTCTGTGTTGCTGAGAGTAAATTCCTGGTGAATGTGATTGAGAGGTGTAGACTCCCTTCTTCTATTCTCTGTCCCCACTCCCCACATATAAGACGAATGCTCTACTTTATGTATAGTGGCACTGAGTTCACTGGTAATCCCCAGGTACACTTGTCAAAGAGCAAACTGGAGCTTCTGCTAAAGTTAAAGAGTTTATGGAAGGAACAAAGCAATCCTGAATTGGGCAGCACTTTGTAAAGATTTACCAAAGTACTTCAGTGAAAGGAAATTTTCAGAACTTAAACACAGGGGATTTAATACAAGAACTTACCAGTAGAAAAAAATTCTGATTGGTCAACATTTATAAATTAGGCTTTAACAGACACAAAACAATGGTGAGATCTCTTAAACATTTTGCTAACCCTAAAGTTTGGTTCACCTGAACGGCTTAATCTATGGATATTTTGAGAGCCAACCTGAGTGAATGCTATTCCTGTGAGAAGGAATGGAAGGGACAGAGGCGGTGCCAACAGGCTTCCTTAGGTATTTTGTCTTGTTGACTTTTGAATGTCAACTCAGAGTAAGCAGTAAATAAAAACAACAAAAAAGAAAGATGAAGTCTGTTGTGTATCTTTAGATCTTTAGCATAGGCTTTTCTTTATACCAAGCACCTAGTTGGGTTTTTTGTTTTGTTTTGTTTTGTTGTTTTGAATACTCTTTCACAATCCACTTCTAATCAAGAATTTCTACAGAAATTCACTGATCACAGAGATTTCTCATCTCTGGAGATCTGGATGTGAAAGCTTTTTCTTGACTTGATGTAATAGTGATCTCATACAGTATCTGTTCTTTGGTGATTTATTTATTTCACTGAGTGTTATGTCCTCCAGGTTCTTCCATGTTTTGAAGTATTTTGCAGATTCATCATTATTCTTTAATGTTGAATAGTATGCATTTTTCTTGCTTAAAGAAACCTGACAAAGATTAAATTAATGTTTTACTTGTGAAATTCCCATATGCCCAATTGACAAGATTGATAGTGCCTCTTCTTTCTTTTCTTCATTTCAAGCCTGCTCTAAGTACTGACTCCTCAGTAGTCACCGTACAGTACTTGTAAAACAACTACCATTACCATTGTTTTTCACTGCTGGGATGATCATGCCCATAAACCTTTACTTTCCTTGAGTGATCAAACCAGTCCACTTAAGCAAATATCTTATTCATGTCTATCATTTAATGTCATTTCCATTAGTTGCTTGGTCACTTACCCTCTAAAATTTTATATTCTACCCCTTGTCTTGTAACCATTCCAAAAGACAAATAGCATGTTTAATACACAAATAGTTCTACTATTGATATATACCTGGGTCAAAGAGAGAATAAGCAACATTTTATTTCTTGACAACAAAATAAGACAATAAAAAGAAGTATGTGTAAGAGTAACAAGAAAATATAACTCCATTGTTTACCATATATTAATAAATGAATGAGAACAAAAAAATAAAATTTATTCACCTGATTAACTATGTGGAATCATAAAGAACCTTTGAATATTTTAGGAACTGAACAAAGCTCTGAAAAGTTCTTATAATTTTGGAAATATCAGCTAAATCAAGAAGCATTCTAACCTTTTTGTTTAAAATAAACTTTTTGAACAGCGTTTCATCAATGTGGTACGAAAAATAATAAGATATATACAGAATCATTGTACAGATTAGCAGTATAAATGAGCAAGCTTGAATTATATGATGGAAAATGGTGACCACTTTTCTAGTATTATCAATGTAATAACTATGATCTATGAATTTTATATTCAATAAGTAATGGTTATTAATGTAACACATCATCATTATATAATAAAATTGTATGCTTTGCCATAATTTTAATTGACTTAACTGAGGAATTATTTATTTACAACAAAAATAACTCATTTTAAATGTATAATCCAATGTATATCTACTGTAACCACCATGACACTCAAGATATAGAACATTTCCATCAGTCCTACAAATTCTCTCTGGACTAGTCCCTTCGCTAGAACCTCCACAAAAGCATCAGATAGATTTGAAACAAAAGTCAATGAAGTTTCTATAAATAGAAAAAGCATGATATAAAAATGTATTAATTGATTAAATAACAAGTTAGAGCAAAAACAATAATGAGGAGTCCTGGTGTGGCGCTGTGGAATAAAGAAAGGCTGGTTTGAACCACAAGGTGGCAGTTCAAACTCACCAGCCACTTTCTGGAAACCCTCTACAGGGCTGCTATGAGTTGGGACCAACTGTACAGCACATAACAAGATAAATCTGGAGATATTTAACAAAAAATAACACAGAGAAATATATAGCTGGAAAATATGAGAAGCTACAACTAGCTGCTGTTGCATCCATTCTGACTCATGGTAACCCCATGAGTGTAGAAAAGTACTCCATGTGTTTTCAATGACTGTCATCTTTCAAAATTACATCACCAGACCTTTCTTCTAAGGGATCTAGGAAATTGTATTTAGTCACATCTGAGAGAAGGAGATGTCTTTCTTTGTCCATCTTAGTACCAAAGTCAGAATAATAATGTTTTTAATCTGAATCTAGTACCATGGAAATTGTGAAAATGTCCTTAAAGTCTAGGGAGCAGAATAGCAAGTATTTGTTTTAAATATTGTATTATCTGAGGAAATTAAATATTATTTCTAGGTGAGACATGTATCGCAAGATACAGATAGTGGGCATGCAATTGGCATTTCAGAGCACAACCTTTCATTTCAATTTCATGTTAACACACTTGATATGTTTTCACCCTCCTTTTATCCCTTTTGTTCTCCCATTCTCTCTTTCATCC